GGGGCCACACAGGAGGGGGTGGGCCTCATCCGGCTGCTCCTTGGTTCCATCGGGACTAGTTGCTCCATCTTGCAGGACTGTTTTCCCAGAGGTCATAGGAAGAGCTGCCGGTCCAAACAGCCCCCCCGGAGGAGGAAGACAGAAGAACTAATCCTCAAGCTGCTGTCTCCCATTGATGCAAGCTTCACCGCATGGGGAGTTAACTGCCCTGCTCCTGCTGGTTTTCTGGTGTCTTCTGCGTCTGCAGCCATAGGGGATGAGAGGCCCAGAGCCCCACGTGGGGCCAGGTGGCGTTGGCTTATCTCAAATGAAGCTGATGGGCCCAGTGGTGAAAAACAGAGTCCACGCAGAACTGATTGCAGTGATGGTGACCAGGGCATAATAAGCAGCCAAGGATGTGAAGAGAAGAGGCAAGAGAGGAAATGGAGCGTAAGAGATAACGTGACGGAAGAGATGCATGATGTGAGAGGTGTGTGACGTAAGATATGTGTGACGTGACCATCAAGTAACATATGCCTGTCCACCGACAAGGCACAAAGTCCATCCATCCTCCCACTCCCACCAAATACGGGGCTTCTAGCATTACAATACTAGTAAGGTCCAGGGTGGGGAGTTGAACGCAAGTCTGCTTGATGCCACTATAATATTCCCATCACAACATGCTGTCTCTACACATATGTCCATAAACGTGAAGGCAGAGTGTGGGCAAAGACACTGCCCCTGAGAGTTATTCAGGGTCACTGGAAGAATCCTGTTGATATGAAAAACATAGCCAGAGTAAGTGAACACAAGGATCAATGTCCAAAGGACCGTAAAGGCAGAAGTAATCATTTAAATAACCTGCATAAAGAGGGGTAAATCCTAGAGAGCAAAGGCTTTTTTGGATTTATAATTCACCCCAGGTTTTGGGCACATTTATTGGGACTGCATGAAACCACTGCCTCAATATTGTAAAACCAGGGTCAAGATATGCTTCCAAGACCAAGCAGGGGTGGCAAATAAGGAAGGCAGGGCAGCATCCGTCACCTATTCTGGAAGCGGGGTCTCAGAAGCCTTGGGTAATTCCAACGGTAAAATCAATGAGGGCAATAACATACACCATTAAAGACGCAGCGTCTCTATTTTCCATATAAATTCTTTGCAACGTTTCTTCCATCCTCTCCATGACTTTATAAACAGAACAGGTAGGAAATAACTTACTAGAAACGACTGCTGATTAGTGTTGGAAAACTTTCAGAAGAACTGCATTCATTCAAACAAATATTTATCGAATGCCTACCATATGTTAAAATCAGAGTTCGGCACTGGAATTATTTTCGATTATTAAAACATGGTCCGTGTGCTCTAGGAGCTCGATTTAGGGCAGATAGGCTTCTCTTCTGAAGTCATAACTAAACTCTTCGTGAAAGAGTTGCAGCAGCTATTTGCAATTTCTGTCCTGGGCATTGGGACAGGGACCGATAGCACATATGCCATATATTTCATATCCCTTGAGGCATACTAATCTACTTAATCCACCGGATGGTGGTGGATATTCCAGAAGGCCATAAGGAAGGATTTGAGCTGGGAAATTCTTAAGTTGAGTTCAAAAACTGGATGCCCAAAGAAGTCCAATTGGTAAGGGGGAAAAAAATCATTCAAACAACAGATGGTAGTCTGGCGGGCTGTCCCTCTGTCCACAGGGTTCCTGCAGCAGCTCTCCCCCTGAAACAGTGATAATTTCCTCCTAAAAGGGAAAACAAAAAGGAAAGAGCACTTATAATCAAGCAAGGGAAATAAACATCCGCCAGAGAGAGACCAGTTCAAGGTAGAAAGTCTATGAATATGTATCTGCCTTCTCCTCACTCAAATTTATAGAAATGACAGGGAAAAAAAAATCTGCTTTTAAAAAGAAGTAAATCCATATTGGGAAAATGGAAAGAAATCCAACACGGGAAAATAAGAAGGAAGGCCATCCACAAAGCTAAATGTTAAAGAGTACTGAAAAACCAAAAGACCTACAGGATGAGATTGTCGGAGGAGATAACGTAGGGCAGGGGCTGGGGAACCCCAGACAGCAAAGGTCTTTGCCTTGGGCAGATCAGAAGCGAGGAGAGACCACCAAAGCTCCTACACTCCCATGCCCAAAAGATGAGCTAGCTACTCACCATCAACTCCAACCCTTACAGCATGGAGAGAACAGATTTGGGAAATAGGGACTACATCCATTGATGGATAAACAGGAAATTTCAAGTTCAGACACCACCTCATAGCTCAAAATCTATAAATATTTAAGGAAAAATCACACCTATAAAAGAAAGATGCCAAACTCAACAACAGAATGGACATTGAAGAGAAGGTCAAGTTTATAAAACAAACGGAAGGAGCCTTTAAGGGATGGGTATTAATCTCCTCAGGAGAACATAAGAACATAAATCATCCATGAGATAAGAATGGGCTATATTTTTTTCAAAATTAAAGAACCTGGAAATGAAAAGAATGCCCATTTAAATAAAAATTTCCATAGAAGACCTGAGGGGCAGGATGGACATAACTAAAGAGCGATTCTGTTGCTGGAAGAATCGACCCATCAGTAAGAAAGGAGATGTCTAAGTAGAAAATGGACAGAAGACAGGAACAGACAATCCCCAGCAGAAATCCAAGTGGCCAGTAAACATATGAAAAGATCCTCTGTGCCAGTAGGAATCAGAGAAATGCAAGCTAATCAACAAGGAGATACAGCATCTGCCCATCTAATGGGAAAAAATTAAAATGACTGATAATCCCCAGGGCTGGCAGCAGTGTGGGGAAACAGCCTCATCTCACTTTGGCAGAAGCATGAATTGGCGCTATGTTTTTGGAGGGCAATCTGGCAGATCTTTTCAAATTAAAATGTGCATAATCTTCTATCCAGCAATCCCAGTACGAGGGATCCATCCAGAGAAATCCTTGCACATGCGCCCTAAGTGACATAGACACAGACAAGCAAATCTCTGCAGCCCCGTTTGTGATCGTGGGAGCCTGGAAGCTGACTAAGTGGCCATTGCGGAACACCATGGGACACGTACAAGGATGTGGTGTGTGGACTGAACAGAAACGTTTCAGTAACAGCCAACGTCCTGATCACTTACAAATGTCAGGTATACTGTTTCGGCAATTTACACAGTGCTCTCTCAGTGAAACCTGCCAGTGACCCTAAGGAGGCGAGTGCTATTTTGAAACCCATTTTACTGAGGAGGAAACTAAAGCATCAAATCATCAGTAGTTGCCTGCAATCACACACAGTAATGAAGTTGGGATTTAAAACTTAGCAGCCTGCTTCCAGGGACCATGCTTTCAAAAAATATACCATATGATATATTGTGTTAAACAAAACAATCATATTGCTGAGCTATTAAGTAAAGAATTGTCCAGTTTATGTGAAAATTAACACAACTATGTATTTCCTTATGTACATAAATTTCTATGTTAATACCCAGGAAATACTCGGATAGATACATGGCAAACTAATAATTCAAGGTGGAGGATGGAAGTGGGGATTTTAATATTTATTTTTGAGGGACAGAGACAAAGTGTGAGTGGGAGAGGGGCAGAGAGAGAGAAGCAGAATCCAAAGCAGGCTCCAAGCTCTGAACTGTCAGCACAGAGCCCCACGTGGGGGTTATTTTGTCAGTTTTTTTTTTAATTTTTTTTAACGTTTATTTATTTTTGAGACAGAGAGAGACACAGCATGAACAGGGGAGGGGCAGAGAGAGAGGGAGACACAGAATCTGAAACAGGCTCCAGGCTCTGAGCGGTCAGCACAGAGCCCGACGCGGGGCTCGAACTCATGGACTGTGAGATCATGACCTGAGCCAAAGTCGGACGCTTAACCGACCAAGCCACCCAGGGGAAGTGGGGATATTAAATGAACAAGGCACAGGGCGTCTGGGTGGCTCAGTCAGTTAAGTGTCAGACTTTAGGTTAGGTCATATCTCATGGTTTGTCAGTTTGAGCCCTGCATCAAGCTCTGTGCTGACGGTGCAGGGCCTTCTTTGGATTCTCGCTCTCTCCCTCTCTCCCTGCCCCTTCCCTGCTTGCGCTCTCTCTCTCTCAAAATAAATAAACTTAAAAAAATCTTTAAAGAACAAGGTTCTCACCTTGTACTGTATCTGATTTTTCTTAGAATGTAATCATAAATTAGTTGTGTAATTAAAATTTTAATTTACACACGCTGGCCATCAGATTGCCACATGGGCATAGATGAGCTCTCCCTTTTGTGAAAGAAACAAAATTGGATTGGCAGTCTCCAACCCCAGATTCGGAAGAGAATAAAGACCTTCAAAGATACTGTTCAAGCCTTCCTGTGCAGGAACCATAGCACAGCATCTCCGAGAGACGGACCTTTTCCCTTTGCCTAAACACTTCCAGGGGCAAGAAGTTCGTCGCTGCTCAAGGCACATTATATTTGATAGGGAAAACCAAGCAGTGTGGTAGAGAGGGAAAAGGCACAAGCTTTAGAGGCAGACAGCCTGAGGATTAACTGCTGGACCTAGTGGTACCAGCCACGAAAACTTAGGGAAGCTACCCAAGCTCCCTGGCTTTGGTTTCCTGATCTGTGAAATATGCCTCCCTCACAGAGCTGCCATGAAGATTACGTGAGACCATGATGTACAGCAACAGGCACAATGCCGGATACAGAGAAGGTGCCAACATCCACACATGCCCTCGCTCTCTCTTTCCTAGAATTGTTACAAGACTGTTCCCGACACAGGTAGAAATCTGCCTTCAACCTGGTGAGTCCAGTTTTCCAGCCGTACTCTCCAGCCAATGTCTAGGTATTTGTAAACGGGTGATTGTCTATGTGCTTGACTTACAAGGTCAAGTCAGGAGCTGTCCTCAGAGCCCTGGGAACATCCATGAAGAGAAAACAATGCAAATCCAAGAGTCCCTATTACAGCAAAAACCCAGTGAGATGGTCAAGTAACCCTGAGAACCTTTCCGCAGGTGCAAAGCTCAGGGAGATGGTGAGCTCCCACCACTCTGTCTCTCGGAATCCCTCCCCCACCCTTCTGGGCCATCGAGTTCCATCTTAGGCTTTCTCCCAGCTACCAGTTACCACCGTGCCAACAGCCACATCAACACAAAAGTTGCTCCTGTCTAAATATATTGTTCGGAAGGCAACATCTTTCCCAATGAGAGGTCTACAGCAGGGGACAAATAACAAGACAGGGTTCTGGAAAACAAGAACTTCCATACCGCTTCCCAGTTACAGAGCACTGTTATGTACACTGCCTCATCTAATGGTCACAGGATCTGAACTAAGTACTATTTACATCCATTTGCCTGGTTAGGAAACTCAGGTTCAGGGAGGGCTAAGGAACCTACCCAAGGTCATACACATACCAAGTGGTAAAGCTGTAGTTGGAACAAGAGACATGGTAACTCTACTAGAAAAGCTTCTCAAACCACGGGGCTGACAGCTAGGCTTCAGCTAACCCTACAGAGCTGCCAGAGACCTGCCTAGAATGTTCTCAAGCAGGACATCCTAGGGATGAGTTGTAGGTGAGATGCAGGTTTGGACTGAAGGTGAGTCAATCAGCTCCTAAGTGTTGACAGTAGGAAGCCCTCAGCTACTCGAGGTGAGAAGACGCTAGGGACCAGGTGCCTGTATCAGTCAGGGGGTAAGCCAGAGAGAAAAACAGAAGGTCCCAGAGCCTGTCTAGACAACTGTACTCTCTTCCACCCCAATGTTCCATGTTCCTGTGATCCTACAGACCTTCGGGGGCTGCGTGCTCCCTCTCCACCTCCTCTCTCAGAACACCTACAACCTGGCTCTCCTTCAGCTCAAGTTTCTACCAGTCCCATCTCTCAACCAGCACCCCTAGGAGGGATACCTTGTGGAAATCAATGAGATCAGTGAGCGTCGCATGGCGATTGGGGTCCACTCCCAGGAAGCTGTAAAAATCTCCAGAGGCATCCACAAGAAAGTGCTTGAACCCTTTCTGCAGGCGATAGGATAGGGTATAACCCCAGATTTTCTCACTGACCCGGACCAAAAATGCTCCCTCTGTCATGTTCTCAAGGAGATCTTCTGCATCTTCTCGGCTAATAATTCCTGGTTTAAAAGAGGGGGAAAAAAAGGCCATAGGTTCAGCAAACCTTCCCCTGCCACTCTCCTCCACTCATCCCTGCCCCTCATCCTCCTTCAAGGGTGTCAGGAAGGGAGGCTGCGGGGGGGGGGCTCAGGTACTTGCCTCATTCCACAGTGGGCTCATCTTGGCCCAGAACAAGCTGTCTGGGCAGAATTCCTACTAGGACCTGAGTTTAGCATTCTTTCCTCCAAATTATGCCACACTAACTTGGATTAACTGGGTAAGCAAAGAATTAGCAATGAGCCAGGATTATAGCATCTATCAATTACAAATAAGAGTCCTGCTTTGATAACAACACTGGAGGGACTTACGATTACTACCCCAGTTACCTTTCCTGTACCCGTGAATGAGCGCCTGAACACAGCACGTTCTCTGAAGAAGAAAGAGGGCTTCCTCCATCCACCTGCGGACACCAGGCAAACAGCTCAAAGGACAAAATTTTCTACAGTCCTTCACAATGTGCCTTCACCACAGTATGAAAGGCGGTCTGGCCCTGGAGTCGAGTATTCGCCAGTGGCTATCTCCAGCAGGGCTTTTAGGGAGCTGCGCTCATCTGGATAGAGCACAGGAAGCCATGCGTGCAGTGGGTCCGCCTCTGAGGGCAGGGCAGTGG